ACACACACACACACACTGTGGTCTCTCTGTCTCATATACTGAACCTGAGTAATATTATATCCTCACTGTATCATATTCATTAAGCATTATGTGAATGATATCGTGGCCTTATTTCAGATAGATGAACACTCCAGACTCATTACCGAGTACTAACAATAAGCTCACATGATAAAAGTTTCACTTGCAAACTTTATCAAACTTTAAGTGAGTTCAGTGGTTCAGGAGAGTAGATATAACTCCTCCATCCCTCAGACAAACACACTCTCTCTGGAATGGGACTCGAGGATTGTTCTCCCGTGGCGGCGGCGGCGGCGGCGGAGCGGCGGAGCCACAGACCCTGCAGGACGTCGCCAAGAGCGTCCGAGAGCAGCGGTACAAGAGGGTGGTGGTGATGGCGGGAGCTGGGATCAGCACGCCGAGCGGCATCCCAGATTTCAGGTAAAAACAAGCTTCGATCTGGTTTCTAGTATCTGTATAAACCTGTGAATACCAGGTGCATTCTGGGGGCCTGTCAATCCCTCACAGGTCTCCCGGCAGCGGCCTCTACGACAACCTGCAGCAGTACGACCTGCCTTACGCCGAGGCCATATTCGAGATCGGCTTTTTCCATCGAAACCCGAATCCCTTCTTCGCCCTGGCCAGAGAGCTGTATCCGGGGAACTACCGGCCCAACCGCACACATTATTTCGTGCGGCTGCTGCACAGGAAGGGGCAGCTTCTCCGCATGTACACGCAGAACATCGACGGGCTGGAGAGATGTATGTGTGTTTACGCCCTTTTTGTTTGTGTTGAAGAAGCAGCTACTTTGTGACCAGGCTTGTTTTACTTGTGTGAAGTGGCAGGGATTCCTCCTGAGATGTTGGTGGAGGCACACGGCACATTCGCCACCGCCACCTGCACCGTGTGCCTGAGGAAGTGCGAGGGAGAGGAGCTCAGAGTGAGTGACAACCAACCGGATTATGGACAGTACGGTTTGTTTGCTCCACATTAAGGACATCGGCCGTTATCTGAGTTAATGAGTTCTTCGGAGCCTGTATCGAGTTTTGAAGATGCTGTCGATCACTTATTAGATTCTTCAAAGTCTGACAAGTTTTTGATCTGATTCACGTTTCAATAAGACTAAACTTCTCTTTATTATTATTATTATTATTATTATTATTCTTTATAGGAACACTTGGATTTGTCATTTGTAGTACCGGTAGTATTTTTGATCAAAGCTTCCAACTTCTTTCTTTTAATTTCTGCCTGAATTTCGAAAAATAGTCACATGTTTGTGGATTGAAACCATTTTTCATTTATACAACAATGATTTTAGAATATTTTATGCTTTGAAAGGATGTTGTAGACTCACACATTTCAGACGGACTAAATATACACAGTTGGCCTATATGTCAGCAAAAAAAGTTGCATTAGAAAAGTACAATATCCAAATATCAGGTAGAAGAAAACACTGAATTTGTCAAAAACAGAAGCCTATTAAGTTTGTATGATTGTTAAAACCTTTAAAATTACACAATGCTGTCAGAAAGTTGTGTAAAAAGTTGCTCAAAATATCAGGAAAACTCATCTCTGATGCTCAGACTTCATCCATGTTGCTCATTTTACACAAACGTCCTGCAGTTATTGTGTCAACAAGATAATGTTAGATGATTCATTTAGAACATGATGAATCTAAGAAATGGATCAGCAGATATTAATTATACATCTCGTTTCTGTGTCTCCTCAGCCGGATGTGATGAGCGGGACGGTCCCGAAGTGTCCCACCTGTAAGGGCGTGGTGAAGCCGGACATCGTGTTTTTCGGGGAGGAGCTTCCACGTCACTTCTTCAAGTACCTGACAGACTTCCCGCTGGCAGACCTGCTGATCGTCATGGGAACCTCGCTGGAGGTGAGCGCCACCGGCTTCAAACCACATCCTGAAACAATACGTCAGGCCGAGAGATAGCAGGAGGTTTACTGACTCTCTGCTTTTATATTATATATATTAACACTCTTAAACCCTTAAACTGTCCCCTGAAATGTGCAATACTCTGATTTACTCATTAATAAAGCAGTTATACTGTCTGCTGTTCTTTATAACACCTATATATTGTTATTTACTGTAATATAATGTACATATTTATTACACACGCTTATATTTTTATAGTTTCTATATACATTTGTTTATATATTGTCACATAATGCACATTAATTAACACATTCCTCTTATTTCTATAATATCTTGTCAGTAACTGAAATGCAACCAAGTATTTCTGATTTGTGTTGCACTTTACAGAAACAAGGAAATTCAACAAGCTTTAAAACAGTTTCTGTTTCTGACTCTTCTTTCTGCAGGTGGAGCCCTTCGCCAGTCTGGCAGGAGCTGTGCGGAGCTCCGTCCCCCGTCTGCTCATCAACAGGGACCTGGTGGGGCCGTTCGCGTGGAGCCGGCGGCCTCATGACGTCGTGCAGCTGGGTGACGTGGTCAGCGGTGTGCAAGCTCTGGTCGATGCCCTCGGCTGGACTCAGGAACTGGAAGATCTGATGGCGGCCGGCGCTCAGAAAGTGAGTTTTTATTTGTTTGATTACAAGCTCACATCGCTCCTCTTCATCAGTGCTTTGGCCTCCTGAGGATTGTGTCTCGAGTGCAGAGATCCTGAAACTGAAGTGGTTTTGACTCCATGCGAAGCACAGTGGGGTCCTGATGGTAAACACTGGACACATGCAGTAATATGATGAGTGATTTCTTGTTTCCACAAACAGAAGCAGGTGATTAAGTTCACTGATGTTACTGTGTGACTTTTATCTGCAGGCTGCAACAAAGACAGAAGAGTGACCTTTTCCCCACATCAGGCTGGAGGTTTGACCTTATTCACTGCGCTCAGTAACAACAACAACAACACTGCAGAGCTGCATCCAGCACGCCGTTGTACAGAGGTTCATGTACTAACACTGGGATTAGTGGGAATACTGGGAAACTCACAGATAAGACTACACTGGAAATGTTGTATAACAAATGTTTCTCAGTCAAATATCAGTGAATAAGGTAAGTGACACGTGGCAGAGAAATCTAATCAGGTGTTTTATTGTCACAACAAAAAGAAAATGTAAAAAATAGTTGCTTTTGTTGAGCTTTCTGTACAGTAAAGGTATGTTTGAGATTATATTTTATTTATTAACCTCTAACTTCTTAGAATTATGCCTAAGAAATGCAATGTCAATGCAATGTGATGATGGCTTTTGTTTGTATGAAGAAGTCATTTAATTCGGCTGTAAATCACGGGTTTAGTGAAATTAAAAGTCAAAATGTATAAATATTTAAGACTAAAGTAAATAAAGAAAAATAAGAATGTTGTTTTAGCTTTTAACACTTTTTCAGAGAAAGATCTGAGGAAGACTGAGAGCAGCTGATCATTGTGTTTATGTTCATTAACACATGCTCACGTTTCATGCTGAATGTCAGTGTTGGGAAATGTTGCAGATGTAAATCTCTAAAACAGACCACAAAGGTATAATCTTTTTTTTTTTAAAGGTTCAGTAACTTCTTAAAACAGGAGGAAATAGTGCTTTAGTTGGGGACTATTTTCACGGGCGGATGTGGGACTGAGTCTAAATAAACTTCAGTGGGTTCGTGGTGATGAAGGAAGATGTCACCCAGGGCAACAGTGTGGCTCATTTCTGTGTCTTTAATAGTTTTTGGACAATACAGGAACTCTATGGCTCAGAGGAGAAGATAGATCAGACTGTGATACACACAGTACTTGATAGTGTGATCGGTTTTATTATTGATCTTTTAAATGGGATTTGGTGACAATAAGAAGAGCTGACTTCTCTAACGAAATGAAGAGTTATTACCTTCACTTTAAAACATTAATGTGTTCTTTTAACCAACAGAGGGAGCCAGAGGACAACCTGTAGTGTGACGGGCTCTGCTTTAAATGATCCTTTAAGTGGTTGTTTTTATAATGATACTTGAAGCTAAAACAGAGTTTAAGTATTAGGTCAGCGTCCAATAAAGTGAATCTGTAATATGTTTGACAATAAAACTGAATCAGAGTCACAAACGTCAGCAGAACTGAAACTCATCAAGTCTAAAGCATAATCACGTTTCCCTCACAATTCAAACTACATTAATACTACACACTCAGAAACACACATTTATATAAATAATTGAGGCTGCACAATTAATTGAAATATTATCAAACTCACAATAAGTGTAATATGCAATCCTCGAAGAAGAAGAAGTGTGACAAACAGCGTTTATAATGAAGTACTGTAGTTCTGAAGAGATGCCCTGACCTGAAAAAACGTGTTCTCCAGATATAAGAAAACATGTTTGTTCGGTACAGACCACAAAAGATATCACATTATTAAGAATTTAAATAGGTTTTATTCTGTGAAAGTTCCATTTGTGATGCAAAAATAATAATTTAATCACATTTTAGTCAAATAAAATAAAAAATAACATTAAAATAACATGATGTGTGTGTATATATGTAAATATATGATGTTTTTACTATATCGTGCAGCCCTGTTTAGTACGGCTCCTCGATGTCCATCCCTGTCTGCTGGTCGTGTTCACATTTAGCCGAGCAAGAACTTGTTAATTGGCGGCACCTGAATTAATCTGCTGTTGTAATTTGTCATTTAAACTGGTGAAAATGGTTTAAATGGTTCAGTGAAAATTAAATTTGCACTGAAAGATTGATTCCCACACTAATCGGGAAATCATATTGTAATGTCAGAATAATTGCAATATGATGTTTTTATCATATTGTGCAGCAATAAAATGAAGTAAACCTTCATTTCTAAAGGATCGGATGTTGTTTGACATCCTAAAACTAGTTTCCCTACAGCTCGTGATGATACACTGACTTTACTTTCAGATTACAGACGTTCCTTATCAAGTCATTTACATATTACTGTTCTTTAAAGGCATTTAGTAAGTTTTTATGGTGCAACCTGTAAATAAAATCACAATTTGTAACTATTAAGTTCTAACATTTTAAGGAACTTTAACACAAATACACAGTAAGAAAATTAAGCCAAAGGATTACAAGCAGTATTATTAATTAAATAATGAATAACTATGTTTGATATTAAGTTAATATAAATTAAATGAGACAATTTCATATGAGTAGATTTAAATAGAAAACAAAAAGGAATCAACACTTAAAAGTATTTAGTTGATGTTAAAAAAACAGAAACTTCTATTTTTTTAATTAAAAATTACATTTTACTTGTATATATATAATTGAGTATAATTACCTCAATTCATCAGTGAATTGATTAGGATTTAGTCAATAATGTAAATCAAAATAAATTTTTGAGGGGTATCAAACATCTTAAATTTACAGCTGAAGCACACCTTTGTATTGTACATTAACATTTTTAGTAGATATTTACTAATAAAAAAAGACAGTTATATTGAATAGATTTGACCTCGTACATTATTTATAATCCACACAACCACAGAATCATTTATTTGTCCAGGATACTGCGGCGTTTAATGTACAACATGTGACTGAATGTGAGCTCTGTGCTGTTTGCAGTTTGTAGTCTTGCACTTCATTACAGATTTGATCAGATTCAGCACCCAGCTCTCACACCTCGCTCCAATTTTCACCTCCCCCCTCCCTGTCGGTCCTGGTCCTTTTTTTGGGGGGTGGTGCTGACGTCTCTGTAACAAGAAATAGTCTCTTATATCACACTGTGTATGATATCATCTAGGGAAACTAAAATTTCTCCCTTTCATGCTAGCGTCTGCTAAAGTGCTTAAGTCAAATCCTATCCCACCGCTTTACTCTCATTCATGTCTGCCCCACTTTTTAATATCTTTATAGGATTATTAGCGTCAATAAGTAGCCGGTAGAGTTCGCTGGTTCTTGTTTTTTCCATCTTCTTTCATGGTTACACACAGGTCAAAGCAGCATTCATCCAAACTGGTATTTGTAGTCATAATAGATAGATAGATAGATA